GGGAGAAAGATGAGGCTTTCTGCTCCCGTAAAGATTTACAGCCTCGGAAATCCTGTACAGGGTCCCTATGAGTCAGAACCAACTCCATGGTGCATAACAACAACAACAACAACAAACTATGAAGAATCACATTTCTATTGTGTACATTCAACATATTTCTTATTTCATTTTTTAAAAATGTAACAACTGATATGGCCAACTTTAAAAGCATTCATCTGAAGTCATTCTGAAATCAATGTTGGAAACTATTTTATACGGAAACATGACAGTCTTTACTTTCCAGTGATACACCTGCTTTATTGACTGCCTGGTAGAGTATCCTCCAGAGTATCCTACAAGGAGGAAGAGCAGGCAGGAGGTGTAATTACTAAAATCCTGCCAGTACTTCTCCTGACTGAAGTAACAGTGTTACTTCTCGCCATTGCTTCCTGTCTCTTGACCTTCTCTGGCTCAGTGTTGGGTACTCTGTTGTTACAAGGACCTTGGATGAGCACAAGTCTGGTACTCTTCGTTGGTTACACCAAGACTACACTAATTCATGTTTGACCGACACATCACCTACTGAATACTTGGTTGAATTTCCACTCTTGAATTGAGTCAAATGATTTGCTGTTTAGTACAACTTTCTGATTTGTGGGTTAGAGAAGTGGATATGTCATATCCTATGTAGAGAAAGGAGTCCTGGTGTGACGCTGTGGGTTAATGCACCAGATTGCAAAGCCGTTTGAACTGTAAGGTCGATGGTTCAAGCTCACCAGCTGCTCCTTGGAAACCCTATACAGGGTCGTTATGGTTTGGAATCGACTCGACAGGACTTCACAACAACAACAAATGTAGAAAAAGGCCTATGAAGAGTTTTCTAGAATAGAACAATTATTTTCCAAGATATGTGAGAGGGAGGACTATTTCTTCCACCCCTGCAAAACTCAGAAGACTTTTCAAGAAGCCTGGAGTAATTAAAATTTTTAGTGATAGGTTATGTAAGAAAATGATGTATATGGTGTGATAGTTAAGGTTTTGTGTCAACTCAACTGGCCATGATTCTCGGTGGTTTAGTTAGCAGTTAAGATGTAGTTATCACCTCCATGATGAGCTTGAATATGATGCAATCACCCCATGATGTGCTCTGATGTGATAAACCCAGATTTCATGTTTGTTGTTGTTAAATACTATCGAGTTGATTCCAACCCATAAAGACCCTGTATAGAGTTTTCAAGGAGCAGTTGGAGAGCTTGAACTGCCAACCTTGCAGTTCCAATCGACTTTGCAGTCCAGCGCATTAACCCATAGCGCCATACCTGGACTCCCAGATCTGATGTTCTTATCTCAAACTGTAAATCTGTACTTTTATTATGCTAATGAGGTTAATGCAATCTATAGGATTAGGCTGTATCTTGAATCAATCTTTTTTAAGATATAAAAGGAGAGAAGTGAGAAGAGAGAGAGAGAGAGACCTATTTCTCTTTCAATTGAGGGGAGTGTGTCCTTTGGATCTGGGACCCTTGCACTGGTGAAATGCATAGGTTCAGGGGGAGATTAATGACAAACCATACGGAGATCTCCACGGAAGGCTGGGCGTACAGAGACTGAAAGGAGACGAGGACATTTCTGCAGAGCTGACAAAGAGAAAGCTTCCACCCTGAATTTGGACTTCTACCTTCCTAAACTGTGAGAGACTCAATTTCTGATTGCCAAAGCCACCCACTTGTACTATTGTTGTTATAGCAGCAATAGAAAATGGAGACACATAACTTTAAAACAAAACTGTAATATTTTATATTGTCATTTTAACTAGTGGTCAAAACGAAAAGGCTTCTTTGAGTAAATAATAGAAATGATGGTAGCAATACAATGGGTTCCTTTTTTTTTTTAATGTTCTTTCTGGCTGTGGGTTTATAATGCTACCAAAGAAAACCGGTTGTGCCCAAGCCTGTCCTGGGATTGGTCTATTTTATGTTCTTTCTGGGATTGGTAAGTATACTAGTCACATGAAGTGACTGTGATCTACTGAGAGGATTGGTCAGTCTACTATGTAAATAACCACAACACAAAACAAATCTACTGCCATTGATTTGATTCTGACTCATAGCAAATAGGGTGTTTGAAACCACCCAATGGGATTGAGTAACTTGCTTATATGAGCAGCCAATCCAATAGAGGTTTTGAGAGAGTGATACAAGAGAGATAGAGAAAGGGGCTATAACTCTGGACATGGTGAGCAGTGGACGAGTGACAGCAGGAATCAGGAACCAGGTGAAGGTAATTGCCATGCGTTTGTCAGTCCATGAAGTAAGAGAGAGCTGATCACCTTTGGGCAGGACGTTTGCTGATAGAGTGGGATGTCTCTGGGCATTTGACAGTAGAGCTAAAAGAACTAAGCAGAGGCCAAGCTGAGCTGAACCCAAGTGGGGTCCAGAGAGGCCCAAAAGGCCCCAGTGGGGTCCAGCCTGTGGACACCATCAAGAGGACAAGAGAGGGTTTCTCTGTCTAGCACAGCTGTTAAGGAGCTGAGAGTGTTCATGGTTAGACATTGTCTTAATTGATGAAGTCAGTCTTGGTCATAGGTTGTATTCAATTATTTCCAAGTTGATTTTGCTACTGAGTTGTAGCCTGTTACTTCCCTAATAAACCACTTAGCTGTAGGCATAGTTCATGAGCTCTGTGAAACACTGCAGTGAGTTACTGAAGTCAAAGACAGGAGGCCAAGCACAGAGGGCAGAGGGAGTGCTTGATGTTAGAGAGGAGTAGTACATCAGCTTGAAGAAGCTGGAAATTTGGGATATCTTTAACCTCTACGTAATAGGAACCAGCTTTGTTCTGATTCTTATTAGATAAATTATTCACTTCATGATTGTCAGGTATTTAGAAAATAATTCATGATTATTAAGTAATTTGGAGGATTTATAATTGTTTTTACAGAAATTCTTCCTTATATTTGAGCATACTTCTGCTAAATACTGCTGAATTTATTATGGATATATTTTTCTTTCATTAATTTTTTTTTTTAAGATAGGATATTTTTATAGCTGTCGATACAGACACACTTTAGATCTAAAATTTTCTTCCCTGCATAATACTTTTATATCACTGAGTAGAACTGTCAAGGTGGATATTTACTGACCACGAATGCTTTTTTTCTTTTTCAATACCTAGATAAACCATAATCATTGGTCAGTAGGAGATGCCTAGCAGCCATCAGCAACCAGACTTTCTTAATAGAGGAATACTAACATCTCAATTGGAGTCCTAGTGTGGTGCTGTAAGATAAGCAGTCCATAGCTAACTGCAAGATTGGCAGTTCAAATCCACCAGCTGCTCCTTGGAAACCTTATACAGGGTCACTATGAGTCAAAACTGAATCAATGGCATGTAACAACAACAATATTTCACTTACTGACATGAAATTATTCTTGGAAAAATCTTACCTTTTTGCTGCATTGAGAGACTAAATAAAATTATTTCTTAATTTGGGTCTTCCGGAATGTCTTACTAGGACTTTGTAGTTGAAGATGTTGCTATTGGCAGTTTTTAGCTGAATAGATTTCTGACAAAGTACTTTTATTCGCCCTTACTCAAGATCTAAGGAGCCTTGGTAGGACAATGGTTAAGGACTTGGCTTCTAATAGAAAGATTGGCAATTCAATCCCACCCAGGGGTTCTTCACAAGGAAGATCTGGCAATCTGCCTCTATAAAGATTACAGTCTAGAAAACCCTATAGGGCAGTTCTACTCTGTCACATGGGATTGTTATGAGTTAAAAATCAACTCAATGACATTTTACAATAACTCAAGGTCTATAACAACCACTGCTGTTCTGGCTTCTCTCATTCCTCCAGATTTGCTCATCTGAAACACGTTTGAGGGACAATACAGCCTGTCATTTTATTATGAAAATTGGAGGAAACTGTTAAATCTCTTGGGAGAACAAATAAAATAAATCTATTCTTACTAAGCTATAAGTGATTAATGCTAAATTCTTCCCTTGGCACAAACCTGGATGTTCAGTGGGAAGAAATTGAAGACTGCAGCTGCTGAAATAGATGATAGCATTTAAGACTCCGGGGCTCCTTGGAAGAATTAAAGACATCAAGAAGGAATAATTGCATACTTAAAATTTTTCTGAAAGTTAACTCTGGTTTCTGCAATAGGTCTTTGTCAAGAAAGGTTAACTCTTGAGCAAACCTAGTTACGTATTTTCAACACACAGTGTCGGGACTAAAGTTGCAAATTCAAATGTAACTCGTAATCTAGTCTCAGACAAGATATGAAT